AATTTTTTTATGAGAAATAATATTTTTTAATAAACCCTTTTTCATTCGACATACTTTATCTTAATCGAGATATTAATAAGGAACCAGCAGATCAAGTAGCTTTTGGAATAAAACACCAATTTTTTTAAAATTAAACACTATCTAAAGATTTGCATCGAAGCGTTTATTTTTGATAGTGATTTTAATCACTGTCAGATATCATTATACTTGATCCAACTATGCCACGTCACCACTGTGCCGCGACCCCCCTGTGCTGGGTTTTTTTTTTTATTATTCAACATCAATATAAAAAAAGTTACACGAGAATCATTTGGCGTGTTGAAATTTTATTTCAATTAAAAATATCATCTGATGATTTATCTACTAATGTATTTAATCTAAATAACTCTGAATTTTGTTAATTATTATAAGTATTATGATGTTGAAAAATAAAAAATACATGTTCATATAGGCAATTCAAAAAATTAAAATTATAATGCATTTTTAAAATTAATACATTTTTTTAGTTCTAAATGTTTTTTTTAAGAATATATTATTATAAAATATTATTATTTAAAATTATTTATTCTGTTATTATTGCTTGAAATCAACTAATCCTTATGTTGTATATTTAGGTGTTCTAGGTCAGAACAATAACTACCGCAATACGGAAAACGAATCATTGTCAACAGCTTATCAAAATTCGTATTGCGACCGGTAATTGAAATATATACTTAACGTTTATTTTTAAATATCACGTGGGTATCTAACAAAACTATCCCAATGTATTTTCAATTAATTATAGGAATTCGACAGAGAATACAACGTATGAAACTGAAAATACAGTCTTTCAAGATGATGTAAGTGGCATAATGTTAGATAGACTAATAAAATTATTTTAACTACATTATACTTCATAAAATTAAAACACTTAGCATGTACGAGTAAAAATATGTGTTGCTACCACACAATTTTTAATTAGGTGTAGATTTTTCAAATTATAACAAGGTAAATGGCGTATATTTTTATTTAATACAGAGACCGCTGGACATAATGTCAAGTTAAATTTTTAACAAAATATAATAATTTTCAGATTATAACATAAATAAAGCGCATTGGTTATTTATTTTTTATCAATGAAGTAACGTGATTTAAGTCATATACGAGTTTAATGTTACTAGGTATTTTAGTGTACATAATCGAAATAAACTAATGAATTATTATCTAATAATAACTTATTATTAACTTTTGAATAATTGTCATCCATTAAGTGTTCATAAAATAATTTCTCAAATAAAATTACAATTATAACTGTGATGATTAATAAAATATAAATTACTCTAAATAAAATGTTGCGATAAGTAATGATTTCATTATTTTTTCTATTATATGGATTTATGTATTTATTCATTTATATTATTCGTAAAAATTTTCCTGGAGTAGAATTTATTATTAATTAAATAGTATTTATATCGAGGAGAGAGTATTTATAAAATCTTTATCCTTAGAAACAACAAAATAGATTCGGATTCTATAAATTTTTAAGATTATAAATTATAAACAATTATTTGCTATAAAGTAGATTATGGTATGTCATCGAATATCCTTAATATATTTAAGATTAAATAGTTATAATTTTTTAAATAGTAGAGAAGAATATGGTAAAATGTATTAGCTGATGTTTAATTGCAATTTAAATATATCTTATTCATAGAATCGTATTTCAGGAAATTGGATTTAAGCGTCTTGTCTCTAACTTGAAATTATGGAACGCATCATGATTTTTAGGGGTTGTAGTTTTTTCTTTTATTTTTACCCATATATTTTATTTAAAACTCTTTTCCAAATTGCGAAGTGATTATAAATTGTTAAGGTGTTTCAAGTTTGACATATTGTCTTACAGAACTCACTATTTATAATTAAATTATGATAATTTTTGAAAAAAAAGACATAATAAAATTGACGTATACTATGTTCCTATGGATAAAAAAATATTGTGTTGACAATACTAAGTTGATACTTGATTAATACGAATATTGTTTTCAAAGTGATTCGACTAATATATTTATAATGTGTAACAATTTTGAACAAAAAAAAGTATTTAATTATTTTTTAATTTTATTAAAGTATTAACTGTCGAATCAATAAAAAAATTTTCCAGCTCAATAATACAAGTGTGTTATATAGATTATGTGTACTCTATTTCTCTCGGTTATTAGTAACGCTCATTTTGCATAAAGAATAATCTGTATATTTCATTTACATGAAGTTGGGATTTTATTTGTTTGTTGTTACGAAAAGTATCAAAAACACATTGTTTACTGAAAATATGATAATGCAATTTTAGTCTTTTTTCATTTACTTATTTTTCATAAAAACCAACTATTTATTATGTTTCTTCGGAATGATGTTTCGTTTTGTTTCTCATACTTTTTTATTACGTCATATATTACAGTTATTTTTCTTTATTATCTATACAATCGGGTGTGCAGTTTTTCATTACTTTGTAAATTATATGTAATCATCGAATGGAATCTTAGGGTATTAATTTGTTTGTTGGACTAAAAGTTATGATTTGTCATTTTAAAAAATCTTTTCAAAATGTGATGAAATTTTATAGAATAATAGTTGAGATGACCGTTAAGTTAAAACAAAGTAAAACTATTTCTATCTTTTGTTAATTATTTTGGATTTGTATGCTATCGTAAAGTACAAATAAATATTCTTATTTGATATTAAATATGTTTTTTGTGATCGAAATACGTTTCATATAATTTGATTAAATGTTTAATTTACGTAGAAGTGCAGCTCTTTATAAGTTTTGACATTTTTGAATGTTTTATAATTTCGACGTCAAATGTTATATTGTACAGCATCAACATAATTTTTTTTCCTTAATATGTATAACTGAGTGTGTTATTTTTTTCATTGTAAATACTTTACATTTAGCTGAAAAAAACGCCCGAATACGAACGAATATGTAAACTGTTAAATCAACCGATAAAAACTTATCAGCCACCGCCTCCGCAACAACAGCAGCTGAAAAAACAGCATCAGCAGCAGCTCTTAAAAGGCCAGCATAGTGGTGTTAATATTAATAGTAGTTCGCCAAAAAAAGCCATGATTCGCGAACAAAAAAGTTTCGATGGCAGCTCTGTGCACAGGCATGGCGGTGGCGGTGGCGGAAATCGACTGACACATTGGAACGACCAAGGCAATTACAATCACAATCCGTCCAGCCATATGGCCGTCAACTACAACCAGTTTGTTGGCAAGCAAACAGCCTCTTTTCCTGTAAGCCATAAGTTCAAATATACGTGTACTGTCGAATAGGCTGTTGTTGAAATTGCATAGTTGTTGTGTTGGAAATAATATATTGATAGAAATATATTTTTGTAAGATAATTACATATTTAGATGTTGACTCTTTAATTTAATTAGATTAGATAAATTAATACATTAATTTAGTAATCTAATTTTACTGAAAGGATATTAGAAAAATATTTCAACCCTTACCTATTTATAATGTTCTTTAGATGGTGTAAGTGTAAAATACCTTTGAACCTACAAGATAATCCATTAAATATAAAACATTTAAAAAATGATCATTAACCACTTAATTACTCACAAAATAAATACAAAATTTAAAATTTAATGTTTGGTTTTTTTAGTCACAAATATTTCTTGATCAGATATTAATTACTTTTTAAAATTATTGCATATAACTTATAGAGGTGTTGACTTTATTTTTTTGAATGACAATATATAAATTTTATTAGCTTATAAAGTAGGGATGATTTAATTAAGAAAATGACGAGTCAATAATAACTATCTACAACTTAAAAGTTATGAACATTTGTATACTTGAACAACAGGCAGAGAGCGGCTGTCAGTATATACTTGGAAATTTTCATAACTTGTGAAGTGTTGAACAGAAGTTTTTATTGACCAGTCATTATCTTACTTGGATCATTATCTACTTTATAAGTTAGACATAGTATCCTGTCATTTAAAAAATTTAAATGACACCCTTATAAGTTATAAGTAATGACGCTAAAAAGTAATTTATAGCTGATTATTCAAGAACTATATTTATTTTGCAAAATCACTTTGTATATTGTATCTACAATTGTACAGTGCATCGGATTATATTATATCACTTTAGTACCTGTGTATTATTTACGTGTATTATGATATAGTGTGGCTTTAATTGTGGCACAAAAATTTTTATGGAATGAGTATTTAAAAAAATTAAATAGCAAATTGATGTCTATTTTATATAACAAAGCAAATTTATGATTGCACAAGTATTATAAAATTGGGATATTCCCTTATTACAGATTGTATTTTAAATAATATTTTATTATTTTATTAAGTTCTTTTTCAAATTGTGTAAAGTAAAAACCTGGATTAAATATATTCTCAGCTTCGAATCGAAGCTAAAAAAAATATGTGTTTCGTTTAAACTATAATAATTTTTAAAAATATGACTTAAAAACTTATCTGTTGACCGAGAGTTATTCAAAATCAGTTGCCCTAATTAACAATAGTTTTCTTGAGCAGCGATTTCATTATTAACATATATATTGAACTATACGTATAGCTGGTTAATTATTATTATTATTTTTATTTTAACTTTGAGTATTACTTACGAAAACTGGGATAGCAAGTTAATTGAATATGTTTGGAATTGAAATTTGAAGGTATTATGACAAAAAAACAATAATAAAATTTTTTTTCTTCAAAAATCCAAATCGATAAAACTCGATGAAATCATAAAAGTTCTAGTTCCTCATAGAAATGTAAATTTGTATTGTACCAACAATATTTGTGGTAGTGGTTTAATTTTTACTTTAAGTGTAATAACTATTTGTGCTAATATACAATTATTTTAGGAATTTCAAAGTGATGGCCAGTAAAATAGATAAAATTATTAATAATGCATGCGAGAACATTTATAGTCTATTGAATTTTTAATGTTGTCAGCTATTGCTCCAATGAGTCTAGTTTATATCTTGTTGAAAAAAATTCAAGTGAATAAAATAGGATTGAGTTTTAAACTCAGTTCCTATATAAATTGTACAGTACATGAAATAGTGTGTAATAACATCTATTTATGTACCGTAGATGTATGGGTGTTTCTAAGACTTTTGACATGATTAATATGATGTATTTTTTAGTTTAAAGTATGTATTATAGGATAGAAATGTTTAGTACTGTTGATTTTACAGTAGTAATATGTAATGTAACGTATTAGAAAAATGTTTAATCATTAAATGATGTACTAGACATCGACGTGTTATGTTACATAATTGAATGAGTATTAAATAAAAATAATATTTACTAATATGGCCTAGAAAATCGTTGGTGGAAGTTGATTTACTGATTGCCTGCGTTATTGAATACAAAAGTATAATTTTTAAAAGTGTGAAATAATTATAGCAATATAGTGTTTTTTTTAATATAACGGCTAAAATAATTAAATTTAATATATAAATCAATTTCCTCCAACAATGATGTACAAATTATTCAACTAATAGTTTAATTACATAAATGTAGTTGATGCTTTCATTGTGATCAAATTAAACTACAATATATATATTTAAAATTAATGTGTGTTTTTAATCTCCATAGAATGAACAAGTGGAACAGAATTTTGGACAAAATGTGCCTCCTGATAAAGATTGTGGAACAATAAGTGGAATGTTAGCAGACTTTAGCCGTTCAATAGGTTAATACACAATAATCAAATAAAAATAAGTTAAATAATTAAGTATGGTCAAACCAATTTAATTAATCATTAAATTTATATTATAAGTTATTAAATTTGAAAGAGGGATGATATGCATGGGTCAGCTATGAGACGGTATCTGATGCGTACAGTCATAGGTATGGGGCTCGGTCATGAGCTGCTAGGTTTACTGAGTGAAAGGTTAACTTAATAATTGAAGAGTCCACTACTTACCTTTGTATTCAGAACATTAAACAAAATTTACATTTTAATATTTTCTTATAGAGAATTATTTTTTTTACAGTTTGATGTGATCGTATTCATCAATCATATCCACTTACTATAAAAACTAATATCGTACATATAGAGATACTTAATATACAAAATTAAATACTAAAAATTATTTAGATTTTTGTTTTTTTTACCGATTTTTTTCAAAAAATGGAGATTACTTTAGCGAAGGCTTAATCATAGATTTCGGAGTATTTATGATTAAGAATGAATATCATTTGTAGATGGCTGTTAAAGTGAAACAAAAAAAGATGACTTAATAATATATTAAATATTGCTAATTATTTAAATATATAATCCAGTTTCGTTATTAAACATAGAACATTGTTTTATTGCAGCTATTATGAATGGATCAACGAATACACCTATTGTTACTAGTGATCAATTTGAAAATAATAACAAATATAAATTCTGCGAACCCCAAGTATATGAAAATTCATTTGATAAATCACAACCACAATACCAACAACAACAAATGTTAGTGCAACAGCAGCAACAGAGGCAACTACAGCAACAGCAATTACAAAAACAACAGCAGCAGCAAATACAAAACCAACAACAATTACATCACCAACAACAGCAACAACAACAATTGCAGCAGCAACAAATTCTTCAACAGCAATCTAGTTTTGATGGATTAGGGTCTAACAAACCTTTAACGCAATTACGTAGGACCCAATCAATAATAAGTCAAAATCTTCAGGATCAACAATATCAAATGTATTCTAATGATGTCAGTAACAATATGATGCCTAGTATATTTGAACCAGAAATCGTAAATAATTTATCACAACAACATCAAACGCCGCTAATTTTAGGAGAAAACAGGCAAATGCAAATGGAACAAACTTTGCAAAATCAACCAGTTTATCAAGCTGATAATTCAATATTTTATGGCCCAGGGCTACATTCATCAAGACAAATGATCAATCAACCAGTTGATCAAATGATAACGCCTAGACCAATTAATCAACAAGTCATGAATAACAATAATCAATTTTTAGCTGGAGGTCCTCAAAATAATGTATTATTCTCTAACGAACTTAATAACAGGACACTGAATAACATGGAACAGTTTTATAATAAGCGAGAACAACCGCTGTTTGATGGTCAAACGAATCAACAATTAATTAGTCAACAGACATATCCGAATGAAAATAGTGAAGTTTTGTATCAACCTTATCAATCCCAATATACATATCAGCATACTGAACAAAAATCGTCATTCGAACAACCTATTCAACAGCACCAGCAATTATTGCAACAGCAACAGAAGCTTTATCAACTTCAACAATTACAACAACAGCAACAGCAACAGCAGCAGCAGCAGCAACAACAACAACAACAACAACAACAACAAATACAGCAACAACAAAAACAAATTTTTCAAAAAGATGTTACTCAATTCCCGATTGAACATCAAAANGCAGCAGCAGCAGCAACAACAACAACAACAAATACAGCAACAACAAAAACAAATTTTTCAAAAAGATGTTACTCAATTCCCGATTGAACATCAAAATCAACAAGACTTCAATAGAGAACAGAAATTAACAGATTCTACTGGAATGCCAGATAATCATTTAGGACAAAATAATGATAATTTATCTATTGATAAAAAAAAAAGCAATTTTAAAACAGAAAATATCTCATCAATAGGTTTAGTTGATAAAAACGCGTCTTATAACAATCAGAATGATATTGCGAATACGAACAAAATTGAAGGACAGGTAATTATAACAAATTAGTAAAAATAACTCTAATAGTAATTAAATTTCTGATTTTAGCGATCCGATAATGTTCAATTAAAAAATCAAAATCCTGACGTTGACCAGAGAACTCAAAAAACTGGTAAACCGTCAGGCCTTGTCACTGAGCAGATGGCAGGTAATAAACAAATCATATCATCATCTTTAGGAAATAATTTGTCGGCTATAAAATATGCTCAGCCTACGTCTCACTGTGAGTAACATTATTTTATGTGAACTTATTAATACTAAGAATAATAATTACTCTGTTACATTTGAATTATTATAATATAATAACAGTGACTCCTCAAAGTACCCCGGTCAGTACACCAAGAGGTTTAAGAGATTTGGCGGCTTCTCCAGATACTTTAAGTGAAACTGATTCAATGAAATCGTTTAGAAGTAGACGGCGACTGCCCGACCTGCCGCCAAATCAAGAAGCAGCGCCAATACCAAGTGCCAAAAAAAGAGAACGAATGATGAAGGCAATGATGGATAAGTTTCGGTTAGTTATTCATAAAATATATAATTATATATACATGAGTAAAATTATGTTTAATTGTATTTTTTTCAGATCATTTTCATCTGTCAGGAATGTATCGAATTCTGAGTGTATGACTCTAGGCAGTATGTCTGCTATGAGCAAATTTGCTGGTCGTGGGAGGCCAAGTATGAGCGAAACAAATTTATCAAAATATCGACCTCAAAGAGATTTTGTCAATTACTCTAGACCAGAGTCTGCGTTAGGTTTACTGCAAGGTAAGAGAATTTTTAACTAAAAAAAAAAATTAACTTGAAGATTTGATTAATTTTGAATCACATTAAGTCTCAATTAATATTATTATTTTTCTTTAATTCCCTGTTGAAGATCATTAGCACTTGAAGATCATTAATCTAATATGTGTTAATTAAGTGAAATTATGCATTAAAAACAGTTTATTTTAATAAAAAGTTGATCCAGTGACTGACTTGTGTTTGTAATACTAAACAACAAAATAAACTTTTTGTGAAATAAATTCCACTTTAATTTAATTACAAAAATATCATTAAAACGTTAATTAAATACTTTCAAACTTATTTTATGATATTTGCTCTCCATAATTTTCTTATAATAATAATATAAAACGTATACTGTACGTATGAATATGTATCAATGTGAAAAAACAAAATTCTTCACAAAGTAGGTATTGATGACAATTTTTCTATACATTTTGAATATTTTGTTACAATTAATTAACACGAACTGTAAATAGTCAACTCGCCCACATCAAAATTAATAATTGAGTTTCATCAAAAGAGTATTTTCGGTTAACCACTTTATAACGTCATATTACATTGAGTAGAAACTTTTCAATTAATTCGTTGACTATAAACGTGATATAAATTGTAAATATAAGCTGCTAGATGTTATTTGATCTAAACTTATACTAAAGTACTCGCACTTGAAATAGTTTCTCTTTATCCTTATCGTATTTTAGTTATAAACTGAGAAAATTTAGTTTCAGTCATTTGTTTTAAAATTGAAATAATAATACTTAAATTTGACTAAAATTGAATTATAATTATAGGCACAATTTCAGAATAATTTTGAAGGTTTATGTTTTATATATATATATTTTTTTTTTTTTTTTAATATTTTAGCTTCGATGCGTAGCGGAGAAGGTATTAATTTTACTATGATGTGTTTTTTTTTTATGTCTGTTGCCACTTTTTCTCAGCTCTCACTGGACCGATTTCTTTGAAAAATACGTCAAAAGATCACAAATCGTATCTAGTTGAAGACATTACCCTTAAAAATTGAAAAAACTTCCCTCGTTCCCCGTAAATGGGGGAAATATCCAAAAAAATTACAAATTTAAAAATCGCTAATTTTCGAAATTTTTTCACTTTTTTTTCTTAAAACTTCCATAACTTTTTGAAAAATCAACAAATCAACATAATTTTTTTTTATACTAAAACCTTAGATATTTACCTTTCATTTGATATCATTTTTTTGAAAATCTATCACTTAACCTGCTCATTGGGGGGGATTTAAAATGGCAACTTTTTTACAAAAATTAATTTTTTCAACTTAATTTTTGAAAATGTTCCGGAAAGACTGCGTCCTTTAAACATATATCAAATTAAAGCTTATTTTATGTACTACAAAATGAAAAAAAAAAATTTGTCCCGACACTTTTTTTTCTACATTTAAACGGCTGCCGTAGTTAAAAAAACACTATTTTTGTGTTAAAATTTTCGATTTTCGATTTTAAATTTTCAACTTAAAAATGCTATAACTTTTTGAAAAATGTATATATCAGCACAAATTTTTTTTTTCTAAATACATTATAAGTACATCTTTCATTTGACATACTTTTTATTAAAATTGGACAATTTCCCCTTATATAGGGGGCGTTCAAAACTTAAAATATTGTAAAAAACATAGATCTTTTTCAACTGAACTTTTGAAAATGTTCCGGAAATACTGCGTCCTTTAAACATATATAAAATTAAAGCTTATTATATGTAATATAAAATAAAAAAAAAAAATTTGTCCCGACGATCTATCTTCTATGTGCAAATGGCTGTCGAAAATTAAAAAAAAATGTAATGTTTGCGATAAAAATTACATTTTATCGGGATGTTTTTTGTACTTAAAACTGCCATAACTTTTTCAAAAATGAACAAATAAAAATAATATTTTTTTGTATTGAAACCTTAGATATTTCCCTTTCATTTGATATAATTTTTTTTGAAAATCTAACACTTATTCTGCTCACTGGGAGGATTTAAAATAGTAACTTTTTTACAAAAAATAACTTTTTCAACTTAATTTTTGAAAATGTTCCGGAAATACTGCGTCCTTTAAACATATATAAAATTAAAGCTTATTTTATGTACTACAAAATGAAAAAAAAAAATTTGTCCCGACGATCTATCTTCTATACGCAAATGGCTACCATATTGAAAAATATACTATTTTTGTATGATAATTATGGGTTTTGTATTTTATTTTAATAGAAGTTGATGTTGCTTTTGCAATTATCCATCAATTTTTTAAAATTAAACACTATCTACAGATTTGCATCGAAGCGTTTCTTATGATAGTGATTTTAATCACTGTCAGATTAAATCTATACTGGACCCTACTATGCAATGTCTCCACTATGCCGCGACCCCACTGTGCTACCGTTATTTTTTTTATATTAATTTAATATATTTTGTCTCGAAAAAAATTTTTTTCATTAAAATATATATTTTTCTGGGTTTTTGTAGCAATGTCTCTTTCAAATTACACGAATGATTGTAATATTAAAAAAAGTTATTTAAAGTTGAGAATCCAATGTAATGGAGTTGAAGAATTTTTTAAGTCAGTATTGATAGATATCTTCAATAATAAAAATCATTGTCATAACATTTCGATGCATTGAAAAAATTATTTTATCTACCAAGAGTTACACAATTTTATATGATTACGCATATCATTTTGTCTTCCAATTATTTAGTGTATTAAAATAAGCTTAAATTTGAAATAATTTAGAATGAAGCAAGTATTTTGTTATAATATAAAAACTACAAAATTGGACATTTTATAACTGTATAATTTTTCACTTAAGTGACTGTTAATTCATATAAATAAATTTTTCAGATAGTTTATTTTTTTCGTCTCAGAGTACATTGTATTGTATATAATTTGATGTAGGTTCAAAGAAGTCAAGTTGCTTGAAACATTATAAAATATTGAAAAGAAAAAAAATTTGATAGTAGGTTTAAACTTTATAAAAACGGTAGCACAGTGGGGTCGCGGCATAGTGGAGACATTGCATAGTTGGGTTCAGTCTAGATTTAATCTGACAGTGATTAAAATCACTATCATAAGAAACGCTTCGATGCAAATCTGTAGATAGTGTTTAATTTTAAAAAATTGATGGATAATTGCAAAAGCAACATCAACTTCTATTAAAATAAAATACAAAACCCATAATTATCATACAAAAATAGTATATTTTTCAATATGGTAGCCATTTGCGTATAGAAGATAGATCGTCGGGACAAATTTTTTTTTTTCATTTTGTAGTACATAAAATAAGCTTTAATTTTATATATGTTTAAAGGACGCAGTATTTCCGGAACATTTTCAAAAATTAAGTTGAAAAAGTTATTTTTTGTAAAAAAGTTACTATTTTAAATCCTCCCAGTGAGCAGAATAAGTGTTAGATTTTCAAAAAAAATTATATCAAATGAAAGGGAAATATCTAAGGTTTCAATACAAAAAAATATTATTTTTATTTGTTCATTTTTGAAAAAGTTATGGCAGTTTTAAGTACAAAAAACATCCCGATAAAATGTAATTTTTATCGCAAACATTACATTTTTTTTTAAATTTTCGACAGCCATTTGCACATAGAAGATAAGATGTCGGGACAAATTTTTTTTTTTCATTTGATAGTATATAACATAACCTTTGATTTGATATATGTTTAAAGGACGCAGTATTTCCGGAACATTTTCAAAAGTTCAGTTGAAAAAGATCTATGTTTTTTACAATATTTTAAGTTTTGAACGCCCCCTATATAAGGGGAAATTGTCCAATTTTAATAAAAAGTATGTCAAATGAAAGATGTACTTATAATGTATTTAGAAAAAAAAAATTTGTGCTGATATATACATTTTTCAAAAAGTTATAGCATTTTTAAGTTGAAAATTTAAAATCGAAAATCGAAAATTTTAACACAAAAATAGTGTTTTTTTAACTACGGCAGCCGTTTAAATGTAGAAAAAAAAGTGTCGGGACAAATTTTTTTTTTTCATTTTGTAGTACATAAAATAAGCTTTAATTTGATATATGTTTAAAGGACGCAGTCTTTCCGGAACATTTTCAAAAATTAAGTTGAAAAAATTAATTTTTGTAAAAAAGTTGCCATTTTAAATCCCCCCCAATGAGCAGGTTAAGTGATAGATTTTCAAAAAAATGATATCAAATGAAAGGTAAATATCTAAGGTTTTAGTATAAAAAAAAATTATGTTGATTTGTTGATTTTTCAAAAAGTTATGGAAGTTTTAAGAAAAAAAAGTGAAAAAATTTCGAAAATTAGCGATTTTTAAATTTGTAATTTTTTTGGATATTTCCCCCATTTGCGGGGAACGAGGGAATTTTTTTCAATTTTTAAGGGTAATGTCTTCAACTAGATACGATTTGTGATCTTTTGACGTATTTTTGAAAGAAATCGGTCCTATGAGAGCTGAGAAAAAGTGGCAACAGACATAAAAAAAAAAAAAAACACATCATAGTAAAATTAATACCTTCTCCGCTTCGCATCGAAGCTAAAACTTAGATTATTAATTGGATTTTCGAAAAAAAGTATTTTGTTAGTAAGTTAAAAGTGTAAAATATTGTGAAAAACATTTTACAATGATCCCTTTACTTTTCAAAAATTATTTCAATATAAAGTGAAAACTAAAAATATCAATATAGACTGTTTCATAAAAAACGTTGTAAATATTATTATGGGAACTAAGGTGATTTTTTTAAAACTACGACACTAAATACGGTTTGTGATCTTTTAACATATCATGGAGGAAAATCAGTTCAGTAGTAGTTGATAAATTTGGTTTACTGTCACAAAAAAAGAAATATTTACCGGGAAAATAAAATTAACATATCCTTCGTTACGCATCGAATCTAAAAAATATATAAATTTAAACACATATTCGGATAACATATTATTCAGTCAAATGGATTGTTTACAAAATTTTTGGATGTATTCGTAACATAAGATAAGTAACCTCAACAATTATTTTTAATTAGTTTTTTTTTTTTAACTTAGATCGTCTAAATAAAGTTAAATTATTTATGATTAGTACCTGTTTACTTATTAATTTAAAACCATTTAAAAAAAAAATTAAAACGTTTCGTTATTTTAAGCCTCTTACAACTGAAGTTTTATTTTAAAAGCGTTTGAATATATTTAAAACGATTTTAAACTGTTTACATGATATGAAATTGTTTTTATTTCAAAAAGAATTTACTTTAAAACGATTTAACGGTTCCATTTAAACGTAGTAAATGAATAATTTTCAAACGACTTGTGCGTTTAACTAAATTGGCTTTAAGTTTAAGGGATAAAGTTTTAGAGATATCATATTTTCGTAGAATAGTTTTTTAAGGGTAACGGTTGCCGAGCAATAATTTGGAAGAGTGTTTCTTTTCTGAAACAAAAACCTTATATCGAAGAAAATGACCTTTTTCATTAATCTTTAACACCACGACACGTTGTTATTCTTGAAACGATTACTATTATGAAACAAACAAAATAATTTATTTTTTATAAAAACTAACCTTTTCAATAAAAACAAAAAGTATATGCACAAAAAAGTAAGCATATGATATGAACGAATAAAATACTTTTTCCTAGATTTCCTACATTAATGGGTTTATTTGTGTCTTTTTTTAAATTTATTAATCTTAATCAGTCTTATTGAATGTAAACAATTTTGACGACGAGTTTGTATATTTTGTACTTCCAATGTGTAGACCGTCAATGGGATCTCGTCGATCATAAACATAAATTTAAGAAAATTGAAAAATAGAAAGAATTTGATCTATTTAAGTGTTCTTATTGTACATATATGCTGTAAATCGTTGTATTGTATTCCAGTGTCACCAAATCTTAATTTTTTGCGTTATTCAAGGATAGAGAGCGTACCGTTGAAGTGGCCATACCGATTAGTAGGTAACGAGAGTAGGTCGCGTGAATTTCTTCAAAAAGGCTAAAGCGTATAACGGTGGTGAATCCACTACGGTTTTTTGTATTGATCAGACAGGCGCACGTGGTTGCTGGCATAACGTGTACTCCCGTTGGCCCGACGAACAGCTGTGGCGCTGTCGACCGACATATCCGCCCGCCAACTTTTCCCTACTTGGGCACTCTCCCACGGGATATTTACGAGTAATAAAATCGTTAGCGACCTTCGTGTGAACTAGTGACCGACGATGTCAGTGGCGTGCGAATTTTCTTACCGAGTCCGTGTGCGTTAGATATCGAGTAACAGTGATATTTGCGCCGTTTTTTCCACTGCCTGTGTCGTTATTAATTTTATATAACGATAGTTGGAAATTTCGATAACGTAACAAACGTTTTGATAAAATAGCAAGTCCATCGACAGTGGCCGCCGCCATGTCCGCAGCCGTTTACGGAGGACGGCCCATCGTCATAGTTGATACCGCCGTTGACGGACGGCAACTCGCTGTTGCTGCTGTCACCGTAGCTCAGCTTGAATTCAATATTCCAGTCATTTGCCAAATGGGGTGAGGTCCTGCGGAGCTTTCATAAACGTCATTTTTAAGTCAAAATGCATTACGATAAATCCATACCGTATTACTCAAAGCTGGGCTACTCTCAGCGACCCAGCAGACTTACCCTGGCCGGCATGTATTACAACGCACCGGCTAGTTACGGATTATATGGTACGCTTCAAATGCCTTATTAACTATGGAAATTTTCAATACTAATGTATCGGACTCTCATTTTATTTTTATTCTCAATTCCTAGTTGACATCTGTGAAAGTAGTAATTATTTTTTAGCTAGACGAAAAAACAAAATGAATTAATGAAATCATCATGTAGACCTCAAAAAACTCAATTGCTAATAGCTATAAATAAAATATGAACTTATGTGATCATCTTTAAAACATCCTTTTAGCTGTGTGAATTATTCTACGTAGCATCTGTCTCTAATAAATCTGTCTCTAAACCCAATTGTTTAACTTATTAAATTACAAATTAAAAGCAACACGGCATTTTATGTGGGCAATTTCAATACATTCAAGCCACGAGAAAAATTATAGCAAATTTTATCCCCTTAATAATTATAATATTAAATTTAAATGAGCGGTTTCGGCTATATTTAGGTTCCAGTTTAGTAAGCAGTACAGGAGAACCGATGTCAAGACACTACGGCTACCCTAAATACTCTACTGAAGGAGACAATGAACTAGCCGCTTGTCTACCTCCAGATTTGAGACACCTGTTATCGTCAACATCACAACAGCAGAGTCAATTGGCTAGTTGCACTAATACACTGGTAAGTTTTAAGAGGTCATTAAAATAATTAAGTAGCTATACATATCATTTGAAACATCCATTATATTTCATATAAGAAGTATAAACATACATTTGAATTAGAAATTATTGTTAAAATATGATAGATATATTATATGGTTATTATGACTCTGGTATATATTTAACTTGAATTTTTGTTTATCTGCTAAAATAAGTTAAAAGTTTTCTTATCTTTACCATGAATTTCAACACTTAATGATCTATTTAATTATTATTATCGATAACAATAACGTTTTTAGATGGATTATTGTAAGTTTATAAATATTTAAATAATGGTCTATGTATAGCATAATGCCACTAATATTTGTGGATTTATTTTTAATGGAAAATGAATACATGTAGATTGATGATTTTTTTATATCAAAAGCTAACTATTTTTTTATTGATTTTTATTTAAGTAATTTACTAATTTTTTTTTTTGTATATTTCTATCTATACATATATATATATATATATTTTTTATGTATAGAAGAGTCATTTATAGATATGTAGATCATTTTCTATTATTTATGCTAGCTAAAAATTACTTTATGGTAGGTAAATTATTGAAAACGTGTATCTAAAAGAAACCAAAAATAAAAAAATTTCTCAATAATATTGAGAACTTTTTGTTTTTAATTATATTACAATTTTTATTTTTTGAATAATGGATGCATGATAAAAATATTATCCTGTATACTAAGGTATTTTAACATATATACACATTAATATACCTTAATACATGTATTTTCTTATTCCGATTAAACATATGAGCATTCATAAATGTTTTCATAATTAAAGATTGATATTCACTATGGTTGGGTTGCATTTATTTATTTTTAGCGACTTTAAGAAATTTGGAAATCTTTGGATAATACGACTAGTAAACTTTAAGCAAAATGTGATTTAATATTGTTATATTAAATATATTTTTATTTTAGAGCTCATTAGGATTGCATAAAAAGCCATTTGAAAGTTATTTGACAGATCGAATACAAGCATCAAGACAGGCTGCTCTTTTTGGTGAAGATGATCATAGGTCACGGGTCTTAGGAGACCGTAGCGCCTATGAGATTTATCGTTCTACAAGTAACATGTGAGTAAATACACCTAAAAAAATAAAAATGTTTCAAGTGTTTTGACCCGTGTGAAAAATAAATACACAGGTGTTTTTATTAAAGTTTTAACTGAGAAACATTTACGTTTACATTGTAGTTATTTTCACTTATAAACTTCTAAAACTTAATATATACACACTGGGAAAAAAATAATTGAGTCACGTGTTAAAATTTCATATTTTCCTACATGTAAATATTATAAACTAGTAATTTATATTTAAATTTGAAATAATCTAGTTTTTGTATTAAATGATTTATGTATTGTTAAAATTATTTTTGTTATAATTCATGCTTATAATATAGTGTATATATACAGAGTATTCAGTAAGTAAGGAAACAGATAAATTGTTACAAAAAATGAGAACAATAGAAATTTGTTTACTTACTTATTGAACATTCTATATAATTATATATATATTTAATACAAATTGACTATTTGTGGCTAATATTACTTAAAATTAAAATTTTAATGTAAACTAAAAAATGCTTATGGTATATTTAGTGGTAAAAGATTAGCTTAAAGGTTAGCTTTTGGTGGCAGTATACCCACGCCATCCTTTGATATAACTGAACTTTTTCATTTGTTTGTTTAATTTTTCCTACAAACTCGATTTTAAATATGCCTTATATTATATTATAAATTATTTCTTATTAATTTATGTACTAACCAGTTTCCAATGTTTTTAGGCCAGATTTGGAAAGGCGCTTTAATTACCAAAGACAAACGGTTGGTAGACTGAGAGCACCTCGCAATGCTTATGCCAAACATTTGTCCGACATGTGTGTTTATGGTGATGGTCAAGATGTTGAAATCGGTTACAGAAACGTTAGTATATATTGTTAGCTTATGAAAAATCAAGTATACGATTTAGCAGTCTTAATTGCATTTTTTATTTTGTTTTAGGATTATCCTCTAAGACCTAGATCTCGTTCGTACGAGAGTAATTCAGTGGAGGAATCAGGTAGACGACACTGGGATAACAGCTACTTAAGTTCTGTTTATGGCGGCAATACTGGAGTGTTACGCGAGACGGCTATTAATTCTGTTTTAGATCACGAACGACGTCGAATGCACCCAGATCACAAAAGGTATTATTAAAATTTAAAAAAATGTTTAGTTTTTAGTTACTTATACTTCTTTTTTTGTTAATTATTAAGTACTTTTTCGGTCCATACCTTTTATTTTATAAAAATGTCAAATTAATTTTTTTAAATATGAAGAACATACATATTTAGCTCACATAACAGCAGATGATCTAATAAAAAAATTCTGGTTTATAACAGCTTTTGGATAAGTAATTCGAAAATTATAATTGTTTTAAAATGTATACTAAAGGAGAGACGCGGCTGTTACTACTTTTAACGTTAGACATTTCTCCGTCGCTTTTCTCCTTCTACCTTAATATAAAAATATGAATACCTTCCTAAGTACTGGTCCATACGTTGTCATCGACTAGTCATTTTCTTAATTAAACATCTACTATTATGTAAGCTAAATAAATATGTATGTTCACATTAAAAAAAATTAATTTTACACCCTTATAAAGTAAAAGGGATGAACCGAAAAAGTACTTAATGATTGTTAAAAATAGAAGAATATGTAACTAAAAAGAAACAAAATATTCCAGAAATTATTTTTGTAAATGAATGAGTAAGTGGCTTATGATAATTGAATTATTCTGTATGTCTATTTTATAGCCTTGTCATCTGTTATTTGGAAAGTTAATATTTTATTTTCCTCAAAGTCTTTTTTCTTCGTGTAAATTGATGTTATATTATAAATTTATAAGCAAAAAACCTTAAAATTTTTTAACCGAATTATAATTCTTCTTATTAAAATATTCTGACATAACGAATATTTTTTTAAGTTTTAGATGGGACATGCGTCGTTTCAGTGACGGTACAGATTCGCGGCCATTTGATTACATGAAATATAGACGATCCCGATCATGGGATCCTTCGCCTTATTCTAGTGAGGACGAAGAAGAAGAGCTACAAAGAGAGGAAAAAAAAGCCAAAATAAAGGCAGAAATAGCCAGACGTCGGCGTCAAATTGAAGAAAACGTGAGACTTCACGAGGAATTGTTGCGTTTGGCTAGGATTCGTGAAAATGCAGAACACGAGTATTCACCACTTTCAGGTACGTCTAATTATTTTCTAAGCTGAACCGCTTCTTTGATCAAGAAGGAAGCGTTGTGTTTAAGTTTAAACTGCTAATTATTTTCTATTAAAGCCCACACAATTCGAATAATGAAGTGACAACTTGTGTTACAAACAATATTCAATATTAATTGATGAGTAAATTAATTTAATTAAATTTTCAAAATCGCCAACCTAGTAATATTATTTTCTTTTGCTTTTCTATGTTATTGAGGACAATAAAATTATCTTCATATCATACATAATATGAATAATTTTAATTCGTTTTTATCATAAGAATAGATTTGAATTGAATTTCTTATGAGATTTGTATGGTGTGGCTTCTCAGTTTTGCATGAATACATATAATAAAGTTACTAAGTACTGCATTTTACAAATCACAAAGATCTGAAGTTGTTTAAATAATAGACTGAATACAAATAATCATTTTAAGGTTACTTCTATGAAATAATATTAGACATATTTCTATTTACTAATTAGATTGATGTATATCAAATTTATATAGTATTTGTTTTGACGTACATTTAAAAGTTAGATATTGTTCTTTATGAAAATGGAAACTATATTTATTGCTTTAAGTGTAATAACAAGTGATTATATTTTCAAAGTAGTATAGTAGTGTATGTATTCAAAAGTTATTCGGATTAGAGTTTTTAAGTTATTATTGATACATCATAATTTTTTTTTATTGTGTGTTCTTTTAGTAAAATTTATTTTGAAATAGAATAATTTAGTAATATTGTTGAAACATATTGAATCAACGTGAAATAAAACATTGATTTTACGTTTTTATTACTGTAAAATTAAGTATAAATTTATTAAAGTATACGGAAATTTGCGAAATTCATTGATTCTTTTTCATTTAAAATTTTAGACTCAATTGCAAAACTGAGAATCTACCATTTATTTCAACTCTTTCGTAAATAGTTATTTTTATTACAAGATACCTACCAAGGTATCTGTAATTTATATCTATTTGAAGCATATTGTCTTAGCATGTCTTTATTTCTGTACACACTTTAATAAAGAGAATTAAAAATTAAAATAAATTCACCTTTCGGGGGCTGTTCGTAGTTGGTATAGAGTGGCGAAGGGATTTTTTCTTAATATTTTAAGAAAAGAAAATATGCAGCTGATTGTGATCTCGGTGTGTGTGTGTGTGTAAAATGATGTTAGGTGGATATGGAAGACGGCAACTGACTGACGATGAGTGCGAGGTGTTCACTCGAGCAGCCGAAAAAATTGCTGAGGAACGGTCTATGGAACGTATAGCGTCCACGTTCAGGACTGAGGATTACACAAGGGGTCTGTACGAACGGCTGGTTGACTTCTCGCCTATAGCTGATTATACTCCCCCACATGCAATGCCACTACTGCCGGACATGCCAACAAGGAGTCGGAAACTTCTCGAGAACCTTGGTAGTTCACCAATCACTGACTCGATGATTTTAGAAAGCGAGCAGCAGAAACAAGCCGTACCAAAAAAAGTCAACTTTCTGGACGTTGCGTGATTAACTTAATTTAAATAAAATAAATTATTATTAACCAATATTAATCGTTGTACAATATAATATTAATGAATTTTGTGGCTGTAATTTAACTTCGAAAGATATTTTGAGTGGGATTAGTTAATTGAAAAAATTATCTCAAAATATGTTTAAATAGTAACATATAGGCAAATAATATTTACATTAATAAAATTATTATAAATTTCTCTTAATTCACGATAAGTTTACTTTATGAGTATCATAAATCGTTAATGTTTGATAAGATTTATTAAACTATGTTGATTTTTATCAAAATAATTTTTTTTATGTCTACCAAAAAATCTCAGCTCGCAGTAATTTAAATGTTAAAAAATTAAAAACAATGTGGAATACTGGTATCAAGTTATTCATCTTAAACTTTGAAAAGTAACTAATGTCTTATGTAATAAAGTATACATTTCATTGATAAGATAATATTTTAATCGTTTTTTCTTCATTGGAAAATAAAGGTATTATAAGCTTGTTGCCTTATTAATTTTTGAAAACTGATTAATAATATTTATATTTTTTTGTTAATGTTATTTTATTACTTATTCTTTGATCGACTAGAGCTGTTAATCTTCTCATAAGTATATTTAAAAAATAAAATTTATGTCAAGTTTAGTTATATAATGTTTCGTCCAAATAGTTGTTAATGAAATTTTTATTTATTGCCCAATATAATAATACTGATACAATATTGGTTAAATACGTTACAATTCTTGTTAACTTACAAGCACACGAACATCGAATTATTAATTCATTTTTACTATAAGATTTATTGTAAAGTTGTATATCTAAAAATTATTTGGCTAAGAATTCATAAAATGTTACTACTTACTATTCCAGGTAAAATTTGATCACTGCCCTTTTGAAATCTACAATAACTGTTTAGCGTTTAATGTTTTTATATTTAATTATATTTATTCTTTAATTTATTTTGTATTTTATTCCACGAGCCCAATACACTTGACTAACATTATTACTTTTTTTTAACCATTCGTAACATTATGAACAATGTAAACGTACACATTTTTTTTAAACATATCGTCTTTAAAAGTGATTTAGGATTTTCTATCCTACCCTTGTACCATATCATTTTTACACTTGAGATTGTTGTATATCGAGTGTACAAACCTTATTTTATATTTTTTTTTAATGGAATTTTTTTTTCTAAATAAAAGTTGTTTTATACATTAATTCTATCTATATTTGTTGTTATCACTTAATTTGCATATCTTTTAAGCTTCTCTTGTTAGAGAACTTTGTTGAAAATTTATTTTTTACACGGTTAATGTTACCACGTTTGTTGTTCAATTGTTTTTTCATGAAATAACGAACTGCCATTCATTGTATGTTATATGTGTGAATATAATATTACTATTATAATTATTAATATTTTTGTTGAAAATAGTTGAATGTTACCATAGTCGATCCGACAATTAATTGTGAAATTTTGTCAAGAATTTAATAAAATAAAATAAAATATTGGAAGAAATAAATAACTTTGGTATACATTTTTTTTTTTCAATTTATAAGAAATAACTAGGATTAATTTTTAAAAGCAGATTGTGTATATTATTACAATTATTAATTTTCTTTCAATATTTTATTATTGTGTAGAAATTTATTATTTACCTAGACATGAGTAACACATAGCTTAGATTGTATTTTTCATAGAATAACGCGCGGCGATAGTATTTAGATCTGCGTATATTGCAAGCGAGTGCTACAATAGAAAATAATATTAAATTACTTGGTGGAATACTTAAAAAAAATATAAAATTAATGTACGAAAAAAACAAATAGAAATTGAAAAACAAAACAATTTTGCTTTCAGGGAGATAGAAGAAATAGACTAACGAACTTGGACCGCACATGTCGACGTGATCTGAGTACTACCAGAAAAACTAGAAAAAATACCGGTTGGGCGCTTAATAATTAGGCAAAGCTATGCGCTGAGGCCAAAAGACTGAGATTTATTATAATTAAATTTTCAGTGCTATTAAATGTCGATGAGCACAATTTTTGGTACTATTTTATTCCAACTTCTAAATAGCTTTTATAAATTATTTTTATGTTTTGTTGTATTAATATAAACTTTAGTAAATTTTTTTGTCTTGTACTTAAAAAAAAAAATAATAATAAAAAAAGTCTATAGTTAAAAATTCTTTTTTAATTTAAGCATAAAGTTCTTCTATGTCACTTTGTGTGTATAAACACGTCGAAATTTATTTAAATAGATATTATCTAATCATTATTTGGCTTGTAATATATTAATGTTGTTAAATAATTTTAATTATACTCTTCCAAATTATTGGTACAATAAACTATAATTTTTATTTAATGTAAGCAATACTAATTGTAAATACATATATTTTGTGGAAAAGTGCCTAAATTTTACTATTAACTCTGGTAGGTCGTCCAAATTAATATTTCGTCACGCCATTACAAAATTATTATCATATTGTTCAATTGAAACGACTGACAATAGTACAATTATAAGTTAGCTGAAATACGCATAGCAAAAATGATTCTAACTTTACATTGTTATATTAGCTATATTAGTAAATTTTTAATAATGAATTCGTCTAATAAAGTAATGTGACACAGAAAATAAGCTTATAAAATATATGCTCTAAGTGGTCTAAATTAATTCAAAATAACTCACTATATAAATTCGATTACTTATTTTAAAAATATAATAAAGTAATTTAGGTATTAAATCATTATGTTGAGGCTATCTGATATAATAATTTATTTTGTGAAATTTCTTGCATTTTTCATTGACATAAAAATGTATAATTGATATCAATTTTTTATGCATTTATACATTAATTAAGAACAAATTTTAATTAACTTATTATTTTATCTTATCAAATGCATGTAACAACTATTATTAGAATTAAAACTATTAATTTTTGTAAAAATTATATTCCACCAAGTAATAAATATTATCAACATTTTTTCTGTAAAATCATAGAAAATAATAGTAATATTAATAATTATAAAAATATTGTAATTCTTTTTGTTTAACTTGTTAATTATTTGTAATATTGCACTTATTTTGTAAAACTTTCGTCTAGCAAATGACTTACTATGATTTACATGTTTCCTTGTACTTATTGTTGTTGTTAATTATTAAAAAAAAATTGTCGTCCTATTTCAAATGTATATTATAGCAATATTTAATTTTATACAATATTTAAAAGGTAAAATATTTCTTTGTGTTGTTACAATAATTAATTTTTAACAAATAATTTATATTGTATTAAATTGATGAATTCACCATAATTCGTCGATAGTATCACCATAAATATTTTAATTATTATTTAATATTATGTATTATTATAGTTTAATTATTTTTTTATTTATTCTAATCTCATTTCAAATAGTTTCTCATTATCTGAAAGAAATTTATTTTGCAAAAATTTATATGCCTATTATCATTGTGTCAGTATTATACAATTGTATTACTTAAGTTGTCACGTTGCAGATGAACATATGTCTAAAAATGTTTTTTTTTTTGGATATATGTACTATTGCAACTAAACGACTCAATGTTTTATTTTTTATACAATTTAAAAATAAACATGTTAGTAGATTAAAATAATATTTATAATTTAAACATTTAATTTATAAGGATAATAATGTGATTCACGGAATATTAAAATAATGTTACAATGTTGTGAAAATAAAATAAAAATACGTCTCTAACTGAGTTTGTTTTAATTATACCTTCAAATATGCTTTAATGACTATAATATGTTTTAGTAAAAATTATCATAAAATTTTTTGTTGGTAATCATAGGTGTATTTAACACTATATATATTAAATGAATAAAGTAAAAATTACTTATATTAGCTTTTTAAAGTTTTTATTTCCTTTTTGAATTAAAAAAAATGTCATGATTAAAGATTAACCATATCTTTATTTTTTAATTTCGAACACAAAATGTTATACAAATTATTCAAAATAATTGTAACACTCAGTTAAATTCTAAATTGATTAAAAAATATTTTAAATGTTCAAAATGATAATTAATTGAAAATGTTAACAAATTCAAAATAAGCAATATGAGTTCACCTAAGATTTGTTTTCATTAAAAATTTCAATATTTTAGTATCTGTTTAACTATCATTTTTCAATTTATAAATTGATTAATATCTTGATAGAAGTAATCACATCTTTTCAACATCAAACTTATATTAAAATTAAACATTTATATTGAAAATATAAACGTAATAAAATTTAGTAATTACGTCAATATAATGAATTTTTTTGGGAAATTGAAAAAAAGTTAAGCTAACGTTAAAGTGATCAAAGCCTGCTTGACAAGAAATTTTTAATCTTACACCATAGTTCAGTATTTTTATAAAAAATATAGGAGAGATATTAACTTAGCTTTATAATACAAAACAGGACAATAAAAACTCAGATATGACGTTTTATTACAATTGGTCATATAAGTGACATAAATTGGAGTAAGTTTCATGGGAGAGGTAGTAGACCATTTTAAATTAAATATCAGAATTTTAAGTAAAATGAATCATTTGAATCGTTTGTCTCCTAGATTACGCGACTGGGTTATAGATTTATTCAAAATGGGAACATTCTAATAAGACCTATTAATAATTGTATTATATTAATTTAAATGTAACTATCAATAATTGTAATTTTAATTTATATATTAAGACGAGGTAAAAAAAAATTTGTTTAAATAATTTAAAAAAAATTTATTATTGTACTTGAAATTATATTTAATCAATTCTTTTTTTTTTTTTTTAACATTTTAATATTAAATTTATATTCAGTCTATTAGCTACCTAGGAAACCTTTTTTTAATAATTAAAATTAGTTAAAAAATTAATTATTGTATAAAAATGTTAAAAAAAAATGACTTTTTAGTAGAAAAATGGACTGACGAAGATTTGATGGAAAGGGTAAGGCTTCCACGAGTGTGGGAAACTTTAGAAAATGGCATTGAAATACAAGAATTACAACCAAGTCGGTATGAGGAAGTTCTTACATTGATCAAAGTATATTGTTAATAGGATAACAGTATATAATTATATTATATAGCCTCAGAAATTGTTGCTTGTATAAAAAGTATTCAATTTTATAATAGTGATAAAAATGGTATTTCGATCAAAATTTTTAGTAAAAAAATCTGGTAACTTCAATTCATAAAAAAATAATTTTTGGTTAGATTCATAGAAACATAAGCTTTTTGTGTAATTCAATAAAACTTGATTTTTTATTCATTCAGTTGCAAAAAAGGCTTATTCCAAAAATTTTTTTTTTTTTGCTGATTTTGTCAAGAAAAAACAATATTAAAAGACAACAAAATATGAGGTCATATTCAATTAATTGCACCTGGATGTTTTTTTGCATTCAAGTATATTTTTAACGGGAAAAAAATAACCTTTTGATATTAATGAGAAATTAATATTAATGTTTTAGTTAAGGTGCTTCTTTTGAAAATTGTTTAGAAATTATATTATTAGATTATTAAAACTGAACAATTTAATTGTTTAAATTTTAGTTATTTTAAATCTTCGTTGTTTATTTGAGCTAAAACTTATAATTTAATTAAAAAATAGTAATTTTATATTAAATTTAATGTTATTAATATAATAGTATTTATTAAGCTTTAGAAAACAAAAAGCATAATTTTTTTTGTAGCCGGTTTAAAGTTTAAATTGTGATTATTTTCATCTTAAAATAGCATAATTTTTATATTTAGAGATATTATATAGTAGAAGAACCACTGTTGAGTGGCTGTCAGTTTCACTTAGATAAAGAATCAGTTGAACAATTTGAGTATTTGTGTCATTTTTGGATGAAAGATAGTCTTTCAAGTGTTGCAATCGACATGAAATCGGGTGATGTTGTTGGATTTTTAATATGTCGATTTAATGAACTTAATTACGCAGATGATATGTACAGCGAAAAAAGGGTATTGCGTAACGGGATTTTATAAAAATCATAATTAATGTACATATATATAGTTTTGCAATTGTACTCTTTATCAAAGGGTAATATAAAATCATTTTTTGGCAATTAAAAGTAATTAAAAGTAAGGAATATATGTAAAATATAAATTGTTTGTATTGTTATATGTTTATTGCAACATTATTTTAAAACTTGATTTAGAAGTAAATTTATTGAGTTGGTAATTAAAAATAATTTCAATTGCACTACTTTTTGAGAAATAATTGGTTGACAATAACAATAGAAAAAATATTGTCCCTTTAATATAAGAAATTTGCGAAACCTGCGTCATATTTTACAGATTTATCGTGGTTTTAAATGGATAGAACTACAAAAGTTTAAGTATTTTTTAATGACTGAAGGTAATCCTTATGAGTATTTCAATATTCAAAGCATTTTTCAAGTATATTTGTGGTTTGTAATTTCGGACTTTCGAGGACATGGTACTTAAAAAAAAGTTTTTACTTATTTTTATATAACTTATTCAATAATTGAAACTAATGTATAGCAATGATAATGTTGTTCAAGAATTTTTATAATTATACTTTTTATTGTAGGTATTGGAATAAAATTACTAGAAAATGTGGCCTATAAACAGTTACCTGAATATGAATGGTTTGAATCAAATGTAATTACTGGTATTTTTACCAGCCGACAAAGTCAAGATTTTGCTGAATCAATTGGTATGACGACTTTGTATGAATTCATGTACGCTGGATGGATTGCAAAGAATGAAGAGGAAGAAGAAGTAGAGTTTTTCAGTGAAATGCAGTCAGGAAATTATGCGGCAAAACTTATGGGTATGAGAGTAGGATCGATTTTAATTGAAAATAAAAACGATATTTCAACTGATGATAAGGATCGCTTTGAAAGTAGCGCTACAGATCCTACGAAAAAAGATACAGAAAATTAGGATTATTTTAAATTTTCCTTATTTTAATGAAATAGTTTTAATACAATTTATTTTACGTTAAATGTTTTATTGTAAAACATCAATAATATTATAACTAACATATCATTAATTTCTACTTAAAAATAATCAATAGGTATATTTTGTTAACTTTAACAAATTGTAATACAATTTTTCACTTTATAAATTTATGTTAATATTCTATTAACAATGATAATGATTTAAATAAAAATTATCAAAGTTAATCGTCGATAAGAAATAATTGAAGTAAGAGCATTATAATTTATCCCAAAATTCTTTTTCAGAGATATTATTAATTAAGTCGACAATAACATTATAACGACAACAATATTATACAATAGTGTATTAATAGGGAAGTAGCAAGATTGTGTTCAGCTTATATTGATGTCAGAAAAACACTAGTTTTGTGCAAATTTAAAATTTTGCCAAGTTAATAGAATTTAAAGTGAACCAAAACAATTCGAGAGGAATTGTTTCAAATTAGATGATATTTTTTATATAATGGTATCTATATCCGAAAAAATATTTTTTGTATTATCAACATTTTAATTGTCAAATTGTTAAATTTGAATGATAAAAATTATAAATTAGATGGATTTTTTTATAGTAGTAACTACAAAAATATTTTTATTTATTTGAAAATAACTAAAAAAAAACATTTTTTTTAACCGATTTTTTACACATTTAAATTTATTTACAATATTATATTAATTCGCTATCTGTAGTTTTATTACTCTCTACTGAACCTTCATCTTCACTAAACCATATTTCTTCTTTATCACAAACAGCATTATCTTCAATATTTTTACTATACTGTTCAATTCTTTCAACAATATTGTCAATTACGATATTATTGGCAATGCTACTATCGTAATTATCATCAAAACCACCAAATTTAATTTCTGCTTCTTCTAATAAAGTTTTAAGTTCATCACGAGTTTTTTTCAACTGAGCCAGTTTGGCATTGGCTTTTTCAATTTTAGGTTTTAACTGTTCAATTTCTTCAGCGTCTGGATTGTTGGCCATTAGATTCCTCCGTACATAACTAAAATAATAAATATACCACAAAGGTTGTAAGGTTGTACAATGAGTTATAGATTTTCAAACATTTAAAATGTTTACATGATTTGAATTTTTTAAGGAATTAGATTTTACATGTTAATATTTTTCTTTAGTTATGAAAAACCAAATAATATGTATCTATTAAAGGTATTTTAGCATTAATTTTTAATTTTTCAAGCATAAATTTAAACATGGTCGATTGGACTGTACACATTCAATTTATTTTAGCATACATATTTTGTATTCATTTAAATTGGTCAAATTAATAACTATATAAAACTAATAATAAAAATGATTATGAAATAAAAATAAAGTTCTTTGATGTTATTTATTTCACATAATCCTATCCAAATTAAACATAAATTATAACATTTTTATCGACTTATTAAAATACATGAATGATATAATTATTTGAATTTAATTGCACAACGCTCAATAATACTAGCATAATTAAAGTAATAAATTATACTTGGAAAAATACTTTAAGTGCATTTTCATGTATATTAAGCAATTGAATGAAATTAGTTAATACTTACTCAATTGGATTATCTGGTCTTTCTGGTTCTTCATACAGCATGAGAAAAACTTTGGTTATTGTATCGAGAACTCCAGAACGTTCTAAATATTCTTGAAACTCTTCACGACGTGATTCTATCGGCTGTTAAAATAATAAAGTTAACTTAATGATGCCATAAGTTATTTGTTTTCATAAAACTCACTCTATACGGAGCAGACATATTACTAGAAACGTCAACCATTAATACAAATTATAGGAAGTTGGTTTGGAAAAAGTTTTTAAATATTTTTTTATTGATACAGAAAATTTGTTTTCTCTTAGATACACCTATCAATTTGATAAAATTATTTGCAAATAAAAATAAATTAATAATTCAATAATAATAAACTCATTGTTATTTAAGCCAAGTTAAAGAAAAACTAGTGATACAAACATAAATACAAAAACACAAGAAAAATAAATATCGTGAGAAAATTATAAAATTTTGTTTAATTTACATAAATCACTTAAACCCACTTTCCTCAATTATTTTAAAAAAAAGTGGCACAGTATGAACATATGAAAGTTGGGATAAGTAAAGATGATATCTGATAATAATTAAAATCACTATCATAAGAAACGCTTCGATGCAAATCTGTAGATAATGTTTAATTCTAAGAAATTGGTGGATAATTACAAAAGCAACATCAACTCTTATTTCCTTAATTATATCCTGATTAGTTGTTCTTAGATTTAAAAATATAATTTATTCCTCTTCTTCTTCCTCGCCTTAATCGCAACTACTTGGGGTCGGCTACCCTTATCCTAAACTTCCACTTGATACGATCTCCCACTTCCTCTACGCTCACATCAGCTGTTCTCATATCGCTTTCAATAACATCTCTCCATCTTTATTTTGGTCTTCCTCTACACCTCTTCTTCCTTCAACATTCATTTTTACCACTGTTCTTACGGCTTCCAATTCTTCTCTTCTCATAATATGACCAAACCATCTAAGTCTATTTTCTGTCATCTTAATCACAATTGACGCTACACCTATACTCCCTCTTATATGCTCATTTCTTATCCTATCTTCTCTAGTCACTCCATTCATTCATTTTGAGCATTCTCATCTCTGCTACACTAATTCTCTGCTCTACTCTCTTATCAACCGTCCAACACTCTGAATTATACATCATATCTGGTCTCACTATAGTCTTGAAGAATTTACCTTTTAGCCTCATTGGAATTCTTTTATCGCATAAGACACCAGACGCTTCTCTCCACTTCAACCACCCGCACTTAAACCTGTATCTTACCTAAAAAATATAATTTATAAATAAATATTTATAGCAATTAAATATAATATGAAATTAATATTTAATAATTTAATATTGTCATTTTGACGGAGAAATATTAAAAATGATAAAGTAGTTTATTTTGTTACTTGTATGACAAACATATATAAAAATTAAAGAGCTTGACGCTATACTTCGTAAACAATTTTTAGCTTCGATGCGAAGCTGAGAAAGTATTGGTTTTACTACGATGTGTTTTTTTTTTTTTGTGTCTGTTACCACTTTTTCTCAGCTCTCACCGAATCGATTTCTTTCAATGATACGTCAAAAGATCACAAATTGTATCTAGTCGAAGACACTACCCTCAAAAATCGAAAAAAATTCCCTCGTTCCCCGTAAATGGGGGAAACCTCCGAAAAAATTACAAATTTAAAAATGGCTAATTTTCGAAATTTTTTCAATTTTTTTTACTTAAAAGTGCCATAACTTTTTCAAAAATGAACATATTAATATAATTCTTTTTTATATAGATGTGTAATATCATTGCCTTTCATTTGGTATATTTTTTTCATAACTTTAACCCTTAACCTGCCCACAAGGGGGGATTTAAAATGACAACTTTTTCAACTTAACTTTTGAAAATGTTCCGGAAGGTCTGACACTTTTATATATATCTTAAATTAAAGCTAATGTAATGTACTTTATTATGGAAAAAAAAAATTTGTCCTCTGGACTTGTCTTCACGGTGAAAATGGCTACCGAATGCTATTTTAGTGTGAAAATTTCTAGATATTATATTTTACATTTTTAACTTTATAATGCTATAACTTATTGAAAAGTGTATGGATCAACACAATTTTTTTATGGGAAATACTATTTTTTAATAATCCCTTTTTCATTCAGGATATAAATAACGAAATAGCAGATTTGCATCGAAGCGTTTTTTTTTTTTTTGATAGTGATTTTAATCACTGTCAGATATCATTATACTTGATCCAACTATGCCACGTCACCACTGTGCCGCGACCCCCCTGTGCTGGGTTTTTTNATCCAACTATGCCACGTCACCACTGTGCTGCGACCCCCCTGTGCTGGGTTTTTTTTTACTTATATACATTGGTCTACAAAAAATTCTCATCGGAATCAAATGTATATAATTTTAAATCAAGTTTTCGCATTGTTTTCAAATTTGAAATTAGATTTTTTCTATCACTTCTAAATTTTGATATTATTACTCATTAGTAGAAAATAAGTGTATTTCCAAAAAAAAATTGTGTTTCAAATTATTATTGATTTTTAGTATGTTAAAAATAATCATTAGTAAGGAATCACAAGTGAAAGTTTATAATAAAAAAAAAAAAAATGAATTTATTACCATAACTTTCAGCTAAACTTTCAAGTTTTGAAATTATTACTAATTATTAAAAAATGAGTATTAACATATAAAAAAAAAAATTAAAACTAAAAAAACAATTGTTTTGAATTATTCAATTTTTGAGAGTAATGTCTTCGACTATATACGATTTGTGATCGTTTGGTGTATTGTTCGTTAAAATCGGTTCAGTGAGAGCTGAGAATAAGTGATAACAGACACAGACACACACATAGAAAAAATAAACACATCATTGTAAAATTAATACCTTCTCAGCTCGCATCGAAGCTAAAATTAACTCTTTGATCTTATATAGAAAATTTCATTCACCTGTAACCATATTGTTAATATGTATTATATTGCTTGTATTGTATATTTTATGTTTATATTTAATGTATGTTTGTAATAAATGCTTATTTTAAATTTTAGGTTAAAATTGATATTTCGTAATGATTATTTTTAACATATTATAAATTATAATCAAATAATTATAAACAATTTTTTTTTTTAAATAATTTTTTCTATATATATACCCATTTTTTAATGATTAGTCATAATGTTAAAAAGTTAGAAGTGATAGATAAAATCTAATTTCAGATATGAAAAGAGTGCGAAAAATTAATTTAAAATAGTGATAGAAATAAACATTACCTATAGATTTGCATCTATCGTTTCTTATGATAGTGATTTTAATTAAATTCAGTTGTGTATTATAGACTCTGCTGCTATTTTTTATTTTTTTAATCTAAACTCAATAGAGTATAATACTGAGAGTATAAACAATAAGAAACAATGAAAAACAATTTTTTTTACTTTATAAATAACTTATTTTCTATTTTTATTTTTGAAAATATAATTTTTATAATTTAAAGAAAATGAGTTAAAAATAGATGGATTTGAAAAATAAATGTACAAAAGTCCTTATTGAGTCAATTATTCAATATATATATTAAATCAATTCTTTATTTCTTATTTAATTAATATTTGTTAATTTTTTTATGATATTTTTCATAAAATTATAAAAAATCTGATTTATTAAAGATCAGGATATACGTTGTAAATGACCTATGTAAGGTGAAACAAATAATTTTCCATTGTAGTTTTTGAGAAATGAAATTATGCTGTGAAATTCTATTAAACATCATTATTTTATTTGTTTAATTTGACAACTCTATTTCTCCACTTTTTACATAAAAAACTAAATAAATAATTTAAAATCATAACTCCCAAAATAACCTAATATTAAATATATAGATCCTTAAAATTCTCGAATATGAAGCAACAGCTGTATTTAATTGATATTAAACATTAGAAAAAACTATACAATTTAGATGAAAATCAAGTAACAATGATTTGTAAAAGTAAATTTTCTAAAATTTGAAGGTTTTAGTATAATTCATCAGTGAATGATGTTAACATAAATAAATAAATCTGTTACTAATTAAAAGTTCTAGTTATAAATTTGAAGTTATACATTAATATATACAACATTATGTATTTGATCTTCAGCAGTTCATATCAAATGTTTCAGTCTTATTATTATTTACACTAATGACTATTGATGGTACATCTTTTTTTTGAGGTTCGAAGTACTCCAAAATTTCTTCTAAAGATTTGCCTTTTGTCTCGGGTAGCAAAAATATACCATATATTGTGGTAATAAGACATACAACAGTATATAGGGAAAATACTGTTATTATTCCGAATTTTTCCAATAACAGAGGATACGATTTTATTGCTAGAAACATTATTATGTAGCCAGCAGAGTGAACAAAACCATTCATTGCTCCTATAAAATATTAATTATTTTTAATTTTGTAATATTTGATAAAATATTATGAATCGATTCTATAAAATTTTTGTATCCAAATTAAAACTTACGTACCTTTCACTTCAATAGGAAATATTTCTCCTGGTATACTCCAAGGGAGTGGTAATACTCCAAGAAGAGCACAAAAGGCACACGATAGAAATGCAGCAGCTCTGATAGATCCATAAGTTGGATTTAGCTCATTACCAAAAGCGTACATGGTTACTATTACCGTAGAAAAACTTAGAGTCATTCCAAGACCAGAAGTTACCAACAAAGTTTTTCTACCAACACCGGAAAGTAGGGAGTACACAATGTTACCCAAAATACGAGCGCCAAACATTAATGCAGAAACAGTCATACTGTCATATGGTACTCCACAATCGCGAATCACATCTACTGAGTAGTATATAAGTACATATATACCAGAGAATTGCTGACAAATGAACAACATTATACAATGTAACGTCGGTTTCCAGACTGACGGGCTAGTGTACACAGCAAATTTAGAATCTTTAGTTGCTTTAATAGGTGTTTCTTCAGTAACAGTCATTTCATTACTCATACCAAACCATTCTTTTGCTTTTTGAGCTTTTATATCCCATCCTTTTGCTTTTAACCAAATTGGTGGATCTGGCACGATGAAAAGTGAAACGGCTCCGAAAATAGATAATACACAATAAGTCATAGCTAAAGTCTGCCAATGGTAAAATATAGCTAGTACAGATACTGAAAGCATACTGAGGCTTGAAAATATTGTAATTATACTTAAAAATAAAGGCCGCAAGAACACTGGACATGTTTCAGCTGCATATAGAAATACAATCATACCCGTACCTAAAAATAGTAAATTATGATTGAATATTATAGTATAAAACAAAATATCATATCTTTAATCACATACTAAAAATTATTAAAACAAATCGTTTATAAAGACAAATTACGAGTCTGTGTATATCACATAAAACATTTAAAAAAAATTGTTTCTAATTTAATTCTGTGGTTAACCTTTAAAGCTAAAATGCCATAAAAATGTTTATTTATGTATAGCGAGTAGGACGTACAACGTAGTAATATTCTTCTGTATGCGTTATGGGTAAAAAATAGAGCACGTCCGAACACAACAAACCTCACCACTTTGTCTAAATGTTTAAATGATAATATTTAAAAAATATATAATACAAAACTGGTTTATTCTTTATTTAAGAAAAACAATAATAAACTCTCATTTAAATTCTTAAAGTTTTACCTAAAAATATTCTCTTTATTTTAATTTATTTCAAAAATCTAAGAATTTTTTTTTTATAATTGGTAGGAAATAAATATAAAAAAAGTTTAATTTATAAAAACATTTTATAATTAGATATTCAGAAAAAATGTATGCAAATTTTATATAATATATTTTTGTTTGAGTTTTCCTTAATTTCACTAAATATTTTTTTTGTAATAATATTAAAAATTTAGGTATATTGCATTTATACATCAAACAAGTGAGAATTTTTTGAGAAAGGCTTTTGAAATATCATCTTTTGTAAAGTTAATTAAATGTTTTAAATTAAAAAAATTATGATATTACCAATGGAGTATCCCAATATTATTCTTGCTATTAATATAACTTTATAACTTTCTGCGTATGCGAGTATTCCCCAGCTCAAAATTAAAGGTATGTATGTGATTTGTAGACTTTTTCTTCTACCTAGTTTATCTGTGATTATCCCAGTTAGTAGCAAACCAAACGGGCCAACAATATTTGGCACACTCGCTAGAAATTAAAAAAATTATACTAATTTATATCTACTTAAACTAGAAGTGTATCTTAAAGAAAAAACTATTAATAATTAATATTTTTTACGTTATTTCATCATTATACACCCAAATTGAAATTAATTAATATAAGACTATGATTATCTATTATTAAAAACTGAATAAGTTTTATCACTTTTATTGCAATGGTATTCCCAAATTCTTTAGTGTTTAAATACTAAAAAATCTGTGACACGTATTTACATTCCTTAAGTTTTATCGTAACTCTTAAAAGTTTTATCTAGAAAATGAATGTTAAAAAAATAATAATGTGTCCTATACTTTAAATTTACATATTATTACCAATCCAAGAAGACTCTTCAGTATTAAGCTGGAAACCAGATGGAGAATCTCGAACTTGGGCTAATAATATACCAGAAAACACAATTGCCGAACCAACAACAAATTCATGAATACACATAAGCCAATTGCTTAAAATCTACACAAAAAACCATTTGAAAATTAAATTGAAAAATTTTTATTACATAATTTCACTCACTAGTTTTATATAAAAATGGAATTTTTTGCTTTCCATTTTTTATGACCTAAATTTTTTACTTAAACAATGAATGTTATACAACAGTGTGAAGTTAATTTTCTTGTTAAACATGTACGGCAACGTCATCTATAAAATGAACATTTTTTTTTGAAATGAATAAAAACTTCATATTACTTATACTTGAAAGAAAACCACTTGTTAAAATACACGAATATAATTTAATTACATTTACATAGTTGTAACTTAATACATGTACTAGTATTAAAAGTACAGTAGAATTCTGATTATCCGGCACGTTCGGGACCGGCTTCGTGCCGGACTATCGAAAATTCCGGTCTATCGGGCGGTGCCTTTTCCTTTTAGTTTAGGCTTTGCTATAAGAACAATTTAGGTTAATAATTAAACTAAAAATACAGTATGCAAATACAAAAAAGTTCGTTTTACATTTCATATAATTTATGTGCAAGTACTGTAATACATATTTCATTTAGATTTAAAAAAGTCATTTTGTCTTTTTGTTTTCTTGACTTTTGGCGTTTAGTATAAAATTTATATCTAATAATTATAGAGATCAACAATTTCTGAAGCACTGTAGCTATTACTGAGACACAGTTTACTACTTTGCAAAAGGACACAAAACAACAACGCACAAAAAAATTGCGAAGACGCTTCGTGATTGATTAACTGTACTGCACTGCACCTGTATTTGTTGTGATAGCTGAGACTGGCCGGCCGCTAATTGTTTCCGAACAATACTGTTGAGGCCGTGTAATACAACTTCCTGTTATCAAATTTTAAGCGCGCGTTCAGTGTACTCGGACCGGTCTAATTTTGTCATATGTGTATATATGATAAAATTAGACTGGTCCGAGTACTACTATGTCCACTACTACGTATTGTTGGTTATTAGTTTTTTGCTCTATTGTAAATTCGTCCGGATGATCCTGAATACCCTGAAAACTTCCGAATGATCGTTTTTATTTGCTTTCAAGGCATTTTTTTGGAGAAAACCAAAATGTTTACAATTTTCCGGAGTGATGCCGGACTATCGGACTTCTACTGTATAATGTAAAGTTAATTAAAATTTTTAGTTAAATAATTTCGATTTGATGTAATAGAAAAAATTTGAAGCTAGATTCAAACCAGCAACGAAATTTCTTATAGAATTCATATAAAAATTGTTAAAAAGAAAATTATTGATGTCCTGTGTAAGTCATTTGAGATGAATTTCGGACGTTATGGATATATAAATTAGCTCTTTCGTTCTCAGTATAAGTGTTCAATTTTTAAAATACTTTAAGAACGTTATACACTATTTCATACTGTAATTTAGTCTTCAGTATTTAAATGTTCCATTAATTATGGTTTAAGTAACTGTTTTCATTCACTAAAAGTTTTATTACTATAAAAAATTTTAAAATGTTTAGTACGACTATAGAAAAAAATAACTTAAAATATTTTTACACATAAAACATTTTGTTGTACAAATAACATATTTTTACCTGATTAATTTTAAGTGGTTCAGTCTCACACATTTTTATAAATATTCAATTATGTTTCCTAATAAAATTGCACTTAGATATTAAATTATGATGACATATTTATCAGATAACTAATAGTTGAAATAACTTGTAGGTCAGAATTTGCTAATTTATCTAATTATTAAAATTAAAATTATTATTATTTATACATCCATTAATAGTACATATAGTATAAATAATTGTAAATGTATATTAATATGTATTAATTATATATTGAATATATAATTTACTATTGAATATATTATATTCAATAGTAAATTTGGAACTTCGATTTACTTACACATGAACTTCAAAATCAATGAATTCTTTACATAAATTTATAGTAAAAAAATAAATAAATCACAATTTATAAAAAAAAAATTTTTGAAGCAATTAAAATAAAAAAAAATACAAAACTAATCGGCTGTCATTTTTAATATTAACAGTCGGAATTTAACATCATGACTGGATACTATAAAGCTAGTCTTGTAAGATATAACACTTAAAACATTTTATACATTGAAAATAAGATATTTTAGGCGATTTATGAATAAATCGATAACGAAGTAGTAATGATACCAGATAATAAATACTACACAGTCAGTATTGATTGTTGTACTTTCCATTGAAATTATAGAAATGAACCATAGTATTTGTTATTATATCTTTATATCACAAACCCTATGAATCATTTACTATGGTACATTTAATTTGAATGTATTAATAAAAATTTTTTTTTGTATTTTATCTAATAAAACTATTAACACTTATAAAAATAATACAAGGAATAACGAATATAACAACGAGCAATTCGTCGTAATCTTGTTAATATTTTTTGTATTACAATTTATTATGAAATATAGAATTGAGATAAGACAAAAAATTATAGTTATTGATACAAAATTCTATAATAACGAATTCTAAAAATAATTGAATAATATAAAGATTTGCACATTATATAAATAACTGAATATTCAGTTGCAAATTACAAATTATATGTTTTATATATATATATATATATAAATGATAAAATTATACAATACAGTTGTAAAAGTATTTCTGTTCGTAGTATTATTTTAATTGTCAATAGTCAATTAAGTCATAATGACTTGTCTATTTTACATTGTATGACTTATTTCGTAATTTATTATTCTAAACATTTTGGATATAAAAGTATTAATGTATAAACGATCATTAAATTTTAATTTTTAGATTTTTAGACAAAGTTAAAATATTGTTTTTATTGTCCTGGATAGTTCAATTGGAAGTATTTATTTAAAAAATATACAACATAATATTAATTATTTATGAAGTGTTTAAAATTATTTTGGTCCAGTATATATTTTTATAGTATATACAGACATGTATCTTTGTGTTGATAAATACACTGCTATTAATAATTGTGTTATAAAATATGTATAACACTATTTTCTATAATATATTATAGAATGCATTATTTATTGTACAGTTAACATCATTAAGCTAGTGTTTTATGGTAGCTATATGTTTTTTTAAGCATAATTAATACATTTTTTTTATATTATATTAATATTAAATTATTATTTTTTCAAGTCGTTACAGAATTATTTCTGTGCTTTTTTTGCGATAGCTTGGCGTACAAATCTATTGATTTACTTGATGATTTTTAAATACATATTTCATGGCGAATTAAGTTGCCTATAACGTTCTATTGCAGATACGGCATTCTTAAGATTGTCCTTACATTGAAATAAAGATTCTTTTGACGGATTTGTTGTTTTTGTAATGTCTTCAAAACTTTGGACAGCGCAGTTTATTTCAGAAATTACGCGATTGTCTATCGGATCGTGTATGCAACTTAATTTTTTTCGTTCATTTTCCAAACATTTTAAACGACGTATAAGAAAATTAAATTTGCTTTTACAGTCTCTGGTCTGATAATAATCATTCATTAATTATATCATACGATCATTAATGAGACTAAATAAATAATTATTAGCATTTAGAGAAAGTCGCTTTTGCTCATTAATATATTATATGTAGTTATGGTATTAAACAACATAGAAAAAACAAATATATTGTGAAAACAATATTATTGTATTATTTTTTTCATTTATATTAACAAAATTATTAATTAAACTAATTTTTTAAAAAGATTATATTAACTATTGGGGGACTTCAGTTATTTACTATTAAAAACCTAATAGCCGTGACGGGGTTAGTGGACATCAATATAGTATTAAAATGTGACAATGATTAAAATACCTGTCTTAAAAAATGCTTCAGAGTGAAGCTGTTCATTGTGTTTTATTTTTAGTAGACATTTTTTGGATTATTCTACCTACAGCACGATCGCGCATAAAATAAACTGCTTGAAAAATTATTGTTATATTAATTTTATTTATTTTAAAATCGATGTTTAATAACTTAGTATTGTAGTTAGTACAAAAAGACGAAAAGAACTTTAGATTATTCTCACCTTTGTTAGTTAATTATATTATTTAATAATAATATCGAAAAAACCTGTTTATTAATAAAAACTGTTTGAATTTTAGGTGTTTTATTATAAAATATATATTATTTGATATTAGGCCAAAAACAGTACGTTATAATCTTGTTAATATTTTTTGTATTAAAATTTATTATGTTTTATAGAATTGAGACAAGACAAAAAATGATATTTATTGATACAAAATTCTATTCTTAAATTAGGTTATTTATTATTACACTGTTGCTATTCCTATTTTTAACAAAACACGAACAAAGTATGTATGAGGAGAATTAGAGAAAGAAATGTCAGAATTAGAAGAAGATATACAGCAACAACTGGATAAAACTCAATCTGAAATAGAGAATGAAATTATTGAGCCCCTCCCAAAAAAATCCCAATTAGATGAGAGTTCAAAAAAAAATGATGAAAATTTTTCTATTTTTTTATATAGTTTTGTTTTTTTTACGATATCGATATATTGCGTATCGGGAACATTTTTTTTTTAATTATTGCAGTATAACATCGCAAAAATCAAGTACAATATAGATATCGAAAAATATATCGTTGACGAACCCTAATAATTAACATTCAAAATCATATTTTTTTTTGGAAAAGAAGGTGTTTAATTGAAAGTTTCCAAACTGAAATTTCTCCACTTATATGACTACATTCTTTATGTAAATGTATAATAATTGAAGAAAAACTTGAAGTATATAATTATAACAACACAAAAAACGGTGATATTTTACACAAATATAACATTTTTTAATTAAATTAGGGGGCCGTTTATACAAAGAAGAAAAGTCGTCGAGACAAAATATATTTTTGACTTGTAATAAATTATATAATCTTTTTTTTAATATATTTTTTTAAGGTATAGTATTCCGGAACATTTTTAAAAGGTTAATTCAAAAATTAAATTTTTTATGCGAAATTTACTGTCAAATTCTCCTTATAAAAAGGAAGAGTCAAATTTTCAAAAAAAAAATATGATGACCATCGCTTGAAGCTATGTTATATTAAATTTAAATGTTTTATTTGCTTGATAAAAAAATATTTAAAATCAAATAAAAAGTTTAAATTAATTATAAAATATTTTTTTTTAATTAATAAAACATAATTACTAACAATTGTACAAGTAGTAATTTTTTTCCATTATTCATATTAAAAAATTATGTCGAATCAGAATTATAAAATAAGAATAAGAATTGTAAAATACAATTAAGTTTGTTTCGATAACGATGAATATTTGCCAGATATTTAAAATAAGGCGCCTTGAATACAAGGTTGTAAATGATACTATATAAAATATAATAATATTATTATTTGTAAGTGTCCATATTATTAATATAATATAGATCTACAGTTTTTCCATATAAAAACTTTGTCTTTTACAAAATCAGTATAAATTTTACACCAGACTTTATTTAATTTTTGAATTATTATTTCTTAGTTTTTATTTGAAAAGTGTAATCGCACTTAAAGGTTAAGTACTTTTTAATAATAACTAAACAGGTAATTTACATAACAACTATATTGACACCACTATCTATATTACACACATTTAAAAATAATACATCAAGACAATATTTTTAGTAAATTTTAAAGAAGTCAAACAATTATTTATAAAAACTAAAAATCAATATTTTACAAAATATAAAAAAAGTCCTTGGAGAATCGTACAGTTAAAAAT